CAGGGCCTTTTTTTACGAAGGAGTGTAGAGGATTTTGTCTTGCATGGATATATTTCTCTCTGGGTATAGGTGGGCAATGGGTTCAGTGAGTTCAGGCTCTTGGTCACTGCTGGCTACAAGAGTTAGTTTCACTGAGAATTTGGTCATTTTTTTGCAGAAAGGAGGTTAGGGAAAAAATTGCAGAAGGAAGGAAAAGTTTTTGAGTTAGTGGGAAGTAGTAAAACTTGAAGGAAGGAAGAGATGAGTTTAAATAGACAAATAGAGGAGGGAAAATGGAGAGTCTTTTGGGACGTGGAGGTTGAAGAGAGGGAGTGAAATGGGTAGTGGAATGGGGACGTTACAGAACGAGTGGTCAGAAGTTAGTGACCTGTAGCTGATGATGATGATTGAAAGAAGATGGAACAGTTTAGGTTAGAACGTGAGAGAGAGGGAAAAGAAAAGGGTGCAGTTGTATTAATGGGTGAGAGACGGTTGCTTTATCAGGGCACGTTTTCAAGATTTGCAATAAATGCAAATTTGATACGGTTGCGTACTTTTTGAGTGACTCAGCAGGGACAGGTGTCCCAGTCACTGTTATCTCTTAACCCAGGGAACGTTTCCTTTGTCTTTTTCTAAATTACAAAAGTAATAAGATGCTGACTAATTGAATGTAAATCTAACCTAATAAGGAGAAGGGGAACGTAAATCATAACACATAACCAATTACTATTTACTACAGTGTATATATATAATAATAATAATTTTTATTTTTTTTGGAAAGGAAAAATTGGGATTGTGTGGTTAGTGAACCACCCCAAAACTACGTTCCTGGAACGGAACGTATGTTATTTGGACTTTGGAGTTGAACATCAGACGTTCCCTCCATTTGGGAGCTATGTGGTTAAGGTTAACCACCCCAAAACTTTGCTCTTTGTTAGAGAGCAAATGTATCCACTGGGTTTCCTCCCAGTCAGCGCTTAGTTTATTGTCTTTAGCTAGACATGGTACTTACCTTTCAGGTCTCTGGAGAAGTTGTTGAGGGAACTTCAGTGTCCCCTGGTAGTTTTCCTGGTGTTCTGGTATTGAGGTTAGCAGCTATCTGTCCTAGGTGGGACTCAATGTTCCTGACCACTGCATCGTTCCTGGTGACATATTCTTTGACATAGTTTTCCAGGGTGTTGATGCGTTGGCCATCTCTGTGGAACGGAACGTAATTGTTTCTTCTTTGTTGTTCAAATGTTCCACTGCTGCTACCTTGCTGGTACTGCTACTGCTGAGTGTTGAATGGTCTTTGGTTCATGGGTGGCCTCCATTGGGGATTATGGTTTTGATCTTTCATGATAGTTCCTCCAGGATTGGAGTTGGTGTTGCGTCCTGCTTGCTGATTGTCCCTGCCTTGGGTGAAGTTCCTGTTTCCAAAGTTTTCTGCATAACACACCAATGCAGTGGATGGGCAGTCTGTTGAATCATGAAGGTCACCACAGGCTGAGCATGGTTCAGTTTCAGCCACTGTGAGTTGCAAGACTTTCATCCTTGGTGTTTCTTGATCATTTTTCAGGTTCTTCTCCTCATTCATGAGTGAGGCTAGTTGGGCTTCCATGGCAGTTTGTTTATCTAGTTCTAGCATGCCAGGCTTCCTTACTGGGTTCACCCTGTCTATTGGCCATTTGAGACATCTTTCTACAGTGCCTTCTATGATTTCATACTTGGATTCAAGCGTTCCTATAAAAAATATCCTCCTGCAGCAAAATCTAAATGTGACTGAGAAGTATGGTCAAGTCCTTTATAAAAAGATTGTAACACTCCCCAACTCTCTACCCCATGGTTTGGACATTTTCTAATGATGTCCTTGTATGTCTCCCAAGCTTCATAGAGATTTTCTCCATAAAACATCCTGAAGTTAGAGAGCTCTGCTCTCACATCAACTTGTCGAGACATAGGGAGAAACCTTTCTATGAACTTGTAAGAGAGTTTCTCCCAATAATGTATGGATCCTGGAGTGAGAGTTTTCATCCATGTTTTTGCTTTTAAGCCCAAGGAGTGAGGGAATAACCTTATTCTCATACTTTCCTCTATCACACCCTCAGCTTTGAAATTATCACAGATATCTTGAAATATTGTGAGGTGTGTGTAAGGATCTTCTGCAGGGAGTCCATTGAAGACTCCAGCTTCCCTTATCATGTGAAACATGATAGGTTTTAATTCAAAATTAGGTGCTACAAGAGGGAAGGTTACTCCCCTCTCTGGTCTGTTTTTAAAAGGAGCAGCCAAAGTTCTAAACTTTTGTTCAGAAGGAATATCTTCATTATTATTGTAAAGTAATACAATATGACAATACAGTAATAGGTCGAGACGTATCCAGAATTAAAAAACTCTATAAGTTTTCCTTATACGTATGATAAATAATAAGGATAAAAGGGGACAAATTTATGTTACAATCAGGGGCGGATTGAAGGAAGGGTTAGCTTTGACTGTCATCTTTTTCTAAATTTTTTTTTATATATAAAATAATATTTTTTAATAATAATAAGATAATAACACTAATAATTAGCTCTTCCTTGAAAAAAATTTATAATAGTTAATATGTCCTATTAGTCTTAATAATATTTAAAATTTTAAAATTTTATTTTCATCATCTATTATAAAAAATTCTGGATCTACCAATAGTTACACTACCTTTTTATTTTTAGTTTGAATATAGTTTATGATAAATATTTGATAAATTTGAGCAAGGCAACTGCCCTCAGAACCTCTCCTTAGCTCCGTCACCTAGTACATATATGCTTGTCTAATACCAAGATAATCATAATTTGCATACTGTTGACATTAATGAATAATGACTCAACTAAATAGCTAACTATCTAACTTAAAAGATAATAGCATAAGATCTCATAATGATAATTTTACAAAAGATTAGATTTGAATAGCTTTTACCCAAAGACATGTTATCCCCCAAGTGTAGGACTATTTACTTTCTTCATTAGCAAGCATCCAAATTCCAAACAAACTGTTTACTGGTTGAGTGACACTGCCAAGAGGAAGAGTTGGTTGTGCCAAATTAGACAACATGCATAACAATGTGGGTCAAAAATCATATAATGTTTTTCTTTCCTAACACGTTAGATTAGATACACATAAAGGTGCCATGCAACAATCAACATTACAAGAAACTATGTAATATACACATTTTAAAAAAACCCAATAATTTTTTTGATTTATAAACATATTAATAGACTATTTGCGGTTAACCTTGCAGATGCTAAATATATAAATCTAAGTTGGATGCTTCCAGGACCTTACATATTAGTGCCTAAACGCTATTACATTATTCAAACTCTGAAATTGATTTTGGGTCACATGAACCAAATCTTGAACACAAACAAACATAACCTCGCTGTTCTGATGTTATGTTAATTATGGGAATGCAAGGAATTAGGAACAAAAGCAGCCTACACTAATGCCGTGGAACAATATAGCAAATCCATGTTGTGTGTATAAGAATCAAAACACATGCTAAGGTCTCCAAAATGTGGGACCCTTACACTGGAGTCACAAATTCGCCACATGTAATCACATGAAGGGTATGGAATGCCATCTCCAATCTCCATGGTCACAAATAAATCACCAGATGAAAACCACAAATTATTTTTGAGACATTAATCCACAATAAACGCACCAGCCCTTCCCTCTTTCACAAGTCAAGTTTTGAAATTAAAGAGGAAATGAAAATCATTACCCATCTCAAAACCCAAAACTTTTCTAGCCGAAAAGTACGCGAACCACCACTTGTGTGCCAACTTGCAAGTCATAATCTTAATTACTAGGGCCACTTTATCAAGAAAAGTACCTACCCTCAAGGAACTCTCTCTCTCTCTCTCAGTATATATATATACATACACTTGTATATCAACTTACACGGTATAAAAATAATAATTCGTACCTAAATCGTAGTAATTGGTTCTACTTAATCGCTAATGAACTAGAGTAATTACAAAGAATCGATGATTAATAATGAGAAAACATTTACACTGATCCAAGTTGATATATATATATATATATATATGGGTTAATATTTTCTCATGTTACATGAGAAAATATTTTTCTCTTACACACAATTCAAAGGTGGAGTTCATTCTATATTTTTTCTCTCTTATCTATTCTCTCTCCTCTCTCCTCACGAAACATCAAATCCTATATATATATATAGGGATAATCTTTTCTCATGTTATAGGAAATAAAATTATCTCATACATGCACATATGTCTGGGGCCTATATGAAAAGAAGAGAGAGAGAGAAAAAAAGGGTTCTACATATTTTTATGTTTGTATAGGAAATAATTTTATCTTCTACAACGTGAGAGATATTAAACATGTATATATATAAGATATGGATATTTTAACTCCAGCATAAGATTTAGAATTCTTACTCCTCATCTTAGTCATTGATTTATATCCATCTAACAATTATTATTTATTTGAAATTAATAATTAATTAATTGGTATAACTCAATAATCTATAACCATTAGATAGACAAAAATCAACTGTAGAAATGTGGAGTCAGACTTTTAAGCCTTATACTAAAATTAAAACATTACTCCCTATATATATATATATAATCAACAATCAAAATTGAGTAACTTATACTTGTGTAAAATATTTATGGGTGCAGTGGATGTCCTTTTAAAGGACACATATTGTGTTTTTTTAGTATCTTACACTATGTTTTACCAATAAGACATAGTTATAATACGAAAAATTGTTTTTTTTTCTCATTTTACACATTAGCTGATGTAACTGGGAAAGATAAAAAATAACTTTTTATATTAACACTATATATTACCGATAAGACATAATGTAAACACACTAAAAGAAAACAAGTTGTATCCTTTAAAATCATAGACCTTTTTTCCAATATATATATATATATATATATATATATATATATATATATATATATATTCCTAGGCTATCCCACGTTAGAATTTCAAAATATTCTTGCACTAAAACTTGGTTAGTATCCATGGGAGAGGTGGAGAGCCCAAGTGTAATGCCAAAGGTTATAACTTTCCTCTCCTCCATGCTTGAAAGGGTAGCTGAATCAAATGATCATAAGCAGAAGCTCCAACACCAGAAGATCTCTGTCTTCCACGGCTTAACTCGACCCAACATCTCAATTCAAAGCTACCTTGAGAGAATTTTCAATTACGCCAATTGTAGTCCATGTTGTTTCATTGTTGCTTATGTCTACCTCGATCGTTTCACTCAAAGACAACCTTCCTTGCCTATCAATTCCTTCAATGTGCACCGTTTATTGATCACAAGCGTCTTGGTAGCTGCAAAATTCATGGATGACATGTAAGTATCTTAATGTTGTTAAAGAAACTTTTAAATTCTGGGTCTCCTTCAAATAGGCCAGAATTCTGAAACTTTGATAATCAGTGATGAATTCTGGGTGTCGCTCTTTTCTTTTCTTAGGAATTTTATGTTGTTTGGTACAACTAATTAGACATAAGCGAAATTATGGTTCAATTGCAATGTTTTTCCTCTGTTCAGAGATCTGTGATTGTTCCTCTTAAATGTTCTTGTTCTGAATTTTTAATTGTTCCAGTACTAGCAGAAAAATTAAATATCTGAAAATCCCAGATGTTGGATTTTAATTTCCCATAGCATATTTTTTTTCTTTTGTTGTATACTTTTCTGACATAAGTTTTATGTTTATAATAATAAATAAATTTTTCTTTAAAAAACTTAATCTTGCTTGTGAATAATACTATGTCCAGGCTGGCTTTCAGTTAAACAGAGACAATCCACCCATGTGACCCCACGAGTTTACTACACAACATTCTTTTAATTAATATATATATATATATATATATATATATATATATATATATATATATATATTTAATGGCTCACATTACTAAAAAAAATTAGAATTCTTAGATATAAGTGAGATCAATGGTCAAAATAGTGAATATAACTTACACTGGTATAAAATGATCGTGACACACACATATATATATATATGGCATATGGGACAGGATCCGTTTACAAACTTTTTTTGCAATTACACTAATGTAGGACCGGTTGTACACTGTGTGATTAATGTAGGACCGGTCCTACATAGTATAGTTTGTAAGAGTTTGTAAACAAAAAAAGTTTGTAAATATAACTTGCCCCTATATATATATGGGAAAAGATATTCTCTACCATTTTAAATTTATTATTCTTACTACTTGATTAGTTACCCTTGGATTAATTTGAAATCAATGATATTTAATTTATTTATTTTCTATTTTTTATTCGTTGATTTCAAATTGATCCAACGATAACCAACCAGATAGTAAGAGTAGTAAGCCTAAAATGATAGTAAGTATAATTTTTCTATATATATCATTTTACATGACTGTAAGTTACATTCTCAATATTGATAATTGATCTCACTTATATCTAATGGCTATAATCTTTTAGCTATGTGAGTCACTGAATACGAGTGAATCAATAATAGAAATTGAGTGAAAAACTTCTTATTTTTACACTGGTATAAGAGTAACTTACAATATGTATATGGAAAAGAATCTTTTAGCTTCAGCGTAAAAATAATAAGTTTTATTTTTCATCACAGTTGTTGATTTTTATGCATCGGTTGTAATTTATTGAATTTTATTAATTAATTAATTATTATTCCTAATAAATTACAACCATTAAATACATAAAGATTAATGATTGAAATGAGCATTAACATTTCTTATTCATTTCTTATTCTTATATCAAACTCAAAAAATCCCTCTCTAAGAAATGTCAATTATTATCGGTGATTTTCTATCAAAAACATTTTACTTGATATTCACCTAATGTTTGCTTTTTTATCTCTGATTTGAAAATCCTCAGGAACTACAATAATGCTTACTATGCAAAAGTTGGGGGAATCACCAAAATAGAGATGAATCTTCTTGAGCTGGATTTCCTGTTTGGTTTAGGTTTTCATTTAAATGTAACCCCTGGCACCTTCGAAGCCTACTGTGTCCATCTCCAAAGAGAAATGTTGTTGATGCAACCTCTAAATTTTGCAGATTCTAGTTTAAGTTTAGGAAAATCACTAAAGGCCCACTTATGTTTCAATGAGGATGAATCTTCCCATCAAAAGCAACAACAGCTAGCTGTTTGATTCCATGCATTTTCTCAGTGCATGGAGTTTGGTTGACTAGTTGTAAATGTAGTGAATCTATTACAGACTGGAAATTAAACTACTTTTCCTTGTGGAATACGCCTACTCCTTTCTGATTATCATTCTTTTTCCTTTTTCTTTTTCATACCTTTCCTTTTTTGGTCTTTTCAATCTCTTAAGTATAGTTAACAGATAATTTTCTCTTTACACTCTCACAAATAATGTCTGGTATATGTTTTAATTTTGTTATAAAGGGGGTTTAAGATTTAGTGTGGAGATTGTATTCAAAAAAAAAAAAAAAAAAGATTTAGTGTGGAGATGAAGATCGGAAAAAATTGAAGGAAAAGCAGCCTCCTTGGGATTCGATGAAGAAATCATAGAAGGAACTTTTTGTCATAGGTATTAAGCAGCGTTCGGTAGAAGATTTTTTTTAGGATTTTCGAAAAAATTAAAAGTGATAATCTTATTTATTCATATTTGGTACGAGATTTCTTAAAAAAATTTGAAAATTTGACTTTTCTGGAATTTTACTTTGTGCGTAAAATTTTCTGAAAATACCGTCCAAGAATGTCATATAGGGGTGGAATTTTAGGATTTTCATGGTAAGGAAAAATTTAATACAACCAAACATAACATCAAGAAAATTAATTCAATATTTTTGGGAATATTTAGAGGCGAAACATAATCAATTTGAATTCGGGACAACTATTCAAAAATTTGGCATACCAAATAACTTTTTGATAACATCCCTACAAAACTCATTTTTCCACTATATTTTTGAAAATCATGATTCTCGGATAAAAAAAAATTCTCTACCAAAAGCCCTTAAAATATTCTTAAGTGACACTTACTGTAAAGAACCTTGGGATACACCACCCCAAAAGCAGCTCAAAGGGTGGGAGTGCCCAAGGCCTTATATCTCAACACGCCCTCTCACGCAAGAGCCCTTTAGGCTAGAAGCGTGGAAATTGCTTAGGCCCATTTTTGATTTTACCTTTTGTGCAAGGAAAAGCCTAACGTGCTTATTAAATTTATGGTGAAATGACTTGTGATCTCGGAAGCCACAGTTTGCATTAGGGTGCACTAGAGAAAAGAATCTATTGTGGAGGTACTATTCTAATGTGGTTAATGTTTTGGAAGCGACGACAGAGTGTGCTATGTGACAGTTGTACACTTGTACTGATTCTTCACATGCGAACACGGAAAATGTGCAATAATGGACAACCAGAACATGTCGGATAGAGAGAGAAAGATGAAAGAGGGTATGAATATGCTAAATAAAGAGTCAATTCAGGTTGACATAACGTGACACGAATATATTAATATGAACATGACATAAATTTTTATTTGTATTAAAACTTTCAACACGAACACAACTCTTAATTTCTTTGAGTTACACAACACGATGTAGATAACATACAAATTGAAATTTATGTAGTCTGGACATGGACACACATCACTACACATTACACAATTACCCTTACATCATAAGATGCAATAGGATGTATATGTTGGTCAAAACAATAAATAACTAAAAGAATACGGGTCATATGCATGTGTTTACATATTGACATGGGATGTGACATGAAATTTTATGTTTCATGTTTTGTTAATACAAACACGACACAAATTTAAATATAAATCAATCCAAATATAAATTTTTGTGTCATGTTAATTTATTGGGTCAAGAATTGACACCCTGCTGCTAAAGGATGCAATTATAATAGGACCACCATTGCCACGTAAGTAATGAAATTTTTCGAAGAAGGGCAAAACTATAATGTAAATTTTTTCTTTCAAATTAAAATTATTTAAATGAAAAAAATAAAAATGAAACTAAGGGAGCGTTTGATTGAGGAGAAATATTATGAATGATAGAGAATGTTATGTATAGGAAAATAGGTGGGAAGTGAAATTGGTAGGAAAATGTAAGAAAAAGTTGTTTGGTTGGAAAAGGTTTTACAGGAAAAATTAGGTAACTTTTGTAAAGTCTATGTTTGGTTGTAAGTAATATATAGATGGAAAAATGCAGTGGGTATTACAAAATTAACCCTAACTGCATAAATTTTTCCATCGTATACAGCAAGATGATGGGCCTTCAATAAAGTAACCAAGCCCATTAATTAGGAATTAGTATATATAGAAGTTTAGGGTGATGTTTATGTTATGCATGTATTCAATTCTGATTTAGTGGGGAAATTGAGAGACTTCTAGGGAACTCTTGAGCCTAGGTATTTGGTTTGAGGGGGAGTTGAGGTTTCTTGGGGTTTATTTTCTGCATATTAGTGTATGTAAAAGAGGCATGGCCTCCATTATCTCTATAATTTCAGTGTTATTTTTCTGGTTTCATCAATTTGGTATCAGAGCATTTCCGGTCTAGGGAGTGCTTTTGGTCCAGATCTACAAAAAAATAAAAAAAAATAAAAAAAATGGAAAACAACAGAATGGAGAGGAGCTTGGATCGATTAGAAACAAGCATGGATCGAGTGGAAGAAGGAATGGATCGAGTTGAAGATGTTGTTCATCAACTTCAGAAAACAATGTGGAAATTAATAGAGCGCATGGATCCTTGTTTTGCAGAAGAAAAAAAGAAAGAACTACATGAAGAACAACTGCAAACAGAGAAGGAAAATTGCAACTCAAATCCAAACAGAAAAACGGAAGAAATTCAAAAGAAATCAACAACCAAATTAGAGATGGAGCAAATCAAAGAAGGAGAAGAGCGAAACGAAATAGACAACGATAGTAGGACTGCAGCCCAGACTTCGCGCAGTGATGCGATAGAAGAGACGTACGACGGCGAGCGGCAGGGAGTAGGATTCCGACGGCATACGTGGGAGAAGGCAGACGAGGTTGGAAGCAGACATATAGGAAGACCGTTTGCTACAACAACCCAAGCAGAGAGGCTCAAAGAAACGGAAGAAGAAAAATGTAAAGAAGAAGATACAAAAAAATTTGAAGAAGGCTACGAAGAAGACGATGAAATCAGAGAGGAGGAAAAGGTTAGGGAATTTGGGTATGGGGCTGAACCATATAACTGGGCCCCAACTGATGATGGTGCAAGGCCCAAATTTAAAAATTATGAGGAACTAAAGGAGCAGGCCACGGTGGTTACTAAAGGAAGCAATTGGCCAAGCAAACGAAATGGGCCGAGTGCTCTACAACAGGGGCCCAATTTTATTACTGGAGGAAATAGGAGTGTTGGGCCACAAAAACGGCCCAATGACACCCATCTTACTATAGGGCAGGGTTCAGGTGCCATGGGTAAGGGGCAAAGGGCTGCACAAGGAAGGTTAATGGAGAACGACAACTACAGTGACCAGAGCGCGAGTTTCCGATGGCTGATGGAGGAGAAAATGGAGGATCGACGGCGGTGCAGCGCGATTGGAAACGTGCAGGGCAGCAACACACATAACACCAACATAGTGACCCAGTCCTTATATGGAAACGCCACAGAAGCTACGTACAACGGCGAGAGGTGGGGAACAAGATGCCGACGACTTACACCGAACGTGATGGAACAGGGGAGGAGGAACCTTGGTTCTAGATGCGATGCACTTTTCTCCGTGAACCACATATACGGTAATCAACAACTTTCGGTGATGTTATTGCGGGCGAGAAGCGAATTCGCAAATTTGGGGAAAGAAGATCTTTCGCACCTCGATCAAGGGAATGACAGGGTCATGCGGTTGAGCGTGCACAGAATCATAGAGGTAATATGTCAAATGCAAGGGGTTGGTGAATTTTTAAAGGGGTGGAGACTGCTTGGAATAGGACATGCAGAGAACGCTAATGATCTACAGGCCATTGCTCGTAAGAGATGGAGTAAGACATCGAGGAAGGGGGCAATAGAATTTTGCAGTGGCAGTTTTTTTACTTCAATCATAACTTGGTCAATATGCTTCAAGCTTTGGGACCCAGGAGGAATGTATCTCACATTACCTGTACTCTTCCCTCACCTTGAGGACAAGGTGAATTTTAGAGGGGGAGTATTGATGGGCCTTCAATAAAGTAACCAAGCCCATTAATTAGGAATTAGTATATATAGAAGTTTAGGGTGATGTTTCTGTTATGCATGTATTCAATTCTGATTTAGTGGGGAAATTGAGAGACTTCTAGGGAACTCTTGAGCCTAGGTATTTGGTTTGAGGGGGAGTTGAGGTTTCTTGGGGTTTATTTTCTGCATATTAGTGTATGTAAAAGAGGCATGGCCTCCATTATCTCTATAATTTCAGTGTTATTTTTCTGGTTTCATCAAGACCAACCAGTTTCGCTATGCTTCTCGCGTTTTCTGCTCTCACCTTCTTCGCTATGGCAGACCCATCACGCTTTCATCACCATTCTCCCATCATCTTCACCTTTCATCCCAACCACTCCATCACCCTCACCTGGTTAAGTTTTTTTTTCTTTCATTATTATTTACCCCACAAAAAAATCATTTTTTTATTCGTTTTAGCTGCAATATGAATATAAAGTTCATTGCTTTAGCTGCTGTTGGTGTTAATCAAGAAAAACCAGCGTCAGATAACTCTGCAAAAGATGGTTCTGGTCAAGGAAAAGAGTCTGGAGGAGAAAATGATCAGAAAAGTGATGATGGGAAACCTGTTCGTGGAGGGGTACGCTGGTCTTTTTTTTGGTACAATCAGTGAGCAAATATGGAGCCACCACAATACCACCTTGCAAAAGGGTTTCTGTGGCCGGCAAAATAAGTACAAATAGATAGGAAAATAAGAATGCCTTGAATCAGAGTTAGCTAGCTAAGTGAGAAAATCCAACACACCAAAAGCTGGTTTCTTTCTTTTATTTGTCATTTATCTATCATTCTGTTGAGAATCCTTCAACCAAACAGCCCCCAAAGGTTTTTATTGATTTTGAAGTGGGCGATTACTAGATACATGGCTAACTTATTAGAAATAATGCTCTCTCCTGAAGATTTATATAAATTTATTCACCTCCGCTATTCCCTCCTTCGCTTCACCACTGGGGTAAGCCACACGAAGTGCAGAAAAGTTATTAATATTGTAGAAGAATAGACCCGTATTAATAACTTTGTTGATACAAATTTTGCCTCATTCATAAGAATGCTTTAGCATTTAATAGACCCATATTATAAACGGAATTCATACTATAATTAGCATATTATTATTATAATTCACATTGCGTCATTGATACAAATTTTATTGACTCATGAAGAGCTAATGCTTCAATATTGTAAAAGTTGATGTTCTATTTACATTCTAATTCTCAAGTTTTGTTGGTCTTTCTTGTTTACATGGGGCAAGTATGAGGCGTGTCCAGGGGAAACCCGTGGCAGGGAACACCACCAATGGGCTAAGCTACACTGACTGTAGCAAGTGGATCCGACACCATGTCTCAACCCAAAACTTTAAGGCATTGGGTTCATGGATCCCTTCCACTTATATACTCTTCACTTAGCCCATTACCAACCAATGTGGGACTCATCACACTTGAATATCCCAACAATCTCCCCCTCAAGTGTGAAACCCACCATTGATTTGCTCCCCCTCAACTGAGTACTCCTGGCCCAAGTACTCAACCTGCCTCCTAGCCAATCATCAGGCTAGCTCGAGCACAACCCGGCTCTGATACCACTGTCAGGCGTGTCTAGGGGAAGCCCGTGGCAGGAGACACCACCAATGGGCTAAGCTACACCAACTGTAGCAAGTGGATCCGCCACCATGTCTCAACCCAAAGCCTTAAGATTTTGGGTTGAGATGTGGTGTCGGATCCACTTGGTGTATTTGGAGTAGGGGTGTTCATCAAACGATCCAAACCGATTCAAACCGCGATAACCGAACCGAAAACCGAAAATCGAACAAACCGAAAATCAAAAAATTGAAAACCGAAAAAAAACCGCAACTTTTATATCTCATCAATTAATTGGGGTTGAACCAAAGAAATAACATAGTCACTTCTCATCAACAAAATTTTATCTGCGTAGAGTTTTATATCTCATCGCCCCCAAAAAAAAATTATATTATCGTTTACTGATACTTTTGTATTTAAATTTTTTTTTACAAAGCCAATATAGATATAAAAGATGTTATCTGCATGAAATAAATTTTAGGATTTTCAAAAAACCGAAAATCGATCCAATCCAAACCGAAAAAAATTGGATTGGCTAATTTGCCGTTACCCAAACGTGAGGATCAACAATGTCTACAACATTCTTCCAAAATTTGTTCAAATTAGGTGTACGCTAGGATGGCTTTTTATTGGGGTTACGTCATTACAAGGTCTTAGCATGCCACAACACTCGACAAAGGGTTACACGTATAAATACGTACAAATGTAATATATATATATATATATATATATATATATATGGGATTTTAGTTTGTCGATTTTAGTTTGTCTTTTAATATGACAAGAAAAAATTTCCTACACACACAACATTTTGTGAGTCCCACACTTTTTAAAGCAACCAAAAAAAAAAATTAAGGCACACAAAACAAAATCTATATAACATTACACAATCACTTTTTCAACAACATAACTCTTATAAAACCTTATATATATATATATATATATATATATATATGGAAACTAAAATTTATTATGACATCATATGATTAATTAAATTATAATTTTTTTCTTAATAAGCCAAATCATTAATAAGTCAATAGCTTTGACACACTATATTCTGACACCAATTGAACGGAAACTACGACAAAATGCAAGTATAATCCATCAATCATTATTGTCATGGTTATTTATAATTGGTTAAATATCTAAATGATGTGGAACATTGAAAATTCCACCTTATATATTTTGTTTTCATATAGGAAAAAATATTATTTTAAACAAAATAACTTTATATCATTTGAAACGATTATATTTTGATGAATCAACAATACTTTCTTTTTCCCGCTCTAATTTTACACAATTATATTCTTTAAAATATCAAACATTTTTCTCATTCATTTAATATTAAGAAGTGGAGAAAGATAACGCAGGCTTTGGAAGATATACAATTTCAGTTTTGCCGTTGACAGAAGTGTACTTTCCAGAATAGTAACAGAACAATGATCCTGCTTTACTATTGTAGATTTCTCAAAGTGATCTAAGGAGAATGTTGCAGTGGGATAACTACCACAATCGTTATTTAAGCATGCTAGTAAAACTGGTCCCAAAAGTTGATAGTCTCGTAACATCGCAAAAATTTGTTAAAATGATTTCGGATACATTTAAGTTTGGCCACGTTGATTTATTATGACATACTTTAAAGAAAACCCAATATTGAACCGACTCATTGTAATGCCTTGATATACAAGGTCATACAATAATGCATATTTGACCACCTTTTATACCAAAGCAAATTTATAACCAACACTATAGTATTGATAAGAATAGTTAATTCCAAAAACATTTTTCAGATAAACAAGAAAACAATACGTTTGAATGCATATCAGCATACAAGTACAAAAGATGCGGAACAAATTGAATTCTGAGAGCAGGACATGGCACTTTACCCAAGTGCTTACAATATGATGCATAAAAGAATCCACGTACATTAACTTGCAAAAACCAAAGTTAGCGTCCAACTAAAAAATAATACTAATAAACTAAAAAAAAAACTGAAGTACACTTCCATGTGCATAAAGGGACGTTACCAAACAAGTGCTTGAGAGCGTTAGACCCTGCAGTTCAGCAGAGAGGCCAAAATGGAAACTAAAACTTAACAAGTCAGCACATACCCTCACCCATGAAAGAATAATTAAATGTAAGTTGTTGACCACATGATGTGAGAACAATGAAAACCATAGTTGACACCAACAACTTAACAAGCTTAATAATCTAAAAAGCATAACCAGCGTGTCAATATCCAAAATACGTGTCATATGAAAGGTAAAATCATATGAAAAATTACCTAATGCGTGACAAAATTCTACTACAGCATGCTATCCGGAATAAAAAAAGGCAAATCCCAATGCACAAGGCCCTCCGACTTGCAAGAATAGAAATAAGGATCGATTATATGTAGCATTACCCTTAAAATTTTGCAAAGAGACTATTTCCAAGACTCAAACTCGTGATCTCTCAATCACAAGAAACAACTTTACCACTGCTCCAAGACTCGCTCTCATTAATAGGCAGAAAAACAGTTTGAAAATCCTAACAAGCTTTGTATTCTTAAAAGAGCCCTCAGCATAACATTCCACAGACAACTGGTTTCAGTGCTGAGACCCCTACCAAAAATAGTAAAGTACTTGCTACTTAACACCAAAAATGAAATAAGGAAGTTGGAAACTACCCACGTAAATAGAACAAAATCATGACCAAATCCACATAAGCATATACTTTGGCACCTGACCAAGTTTTGTTAGTCCATTGTTTGACTTTGGGGCAAGGGTTTTCTAAATCAAGCACAGTAATGGCATACAACCACATGCTAAAGTGTCAACTTCAATAGTTAGTTCCAATTCAGAAACTGTCATTACCAGGTGGGTGACATTCAATCCTTTTCTGCTAATTTACAATCACCTTGAATATTGCATTCCCCAATGATATATTGCACAGGCAAATGGTCTTCCGAGGGTCATGCCAGAGGATATCAACCAATTGCATATAAATAATTGCATTGCAAAATGGAAAACTATGAAGTCAGCTAGCTAAGGAAAGATATTGATGCTTCTTTAGCATCGTCTTGTAGTCCCCCTCATCACAAAATCTCAAAGTAACAAGGCATTCCAGCAACAAATATTACCAGTGCACCAGGCTTTTAACTTTCTTACGATGACATCATATCATAAATCCCAAGACACCAAGTGATATAAATCCACAAAAACTAATCTTTTGACTTTATTAATTGCTGAAATAGAACTCTTTATTACTAGTTTACTTACTAGCTCAACCAAGTCCTGATTAGTTTACTTCTGTTCTGATCACAGCACCATAAAAACAAGTAATCTGAAGTAACTAAACATCTCTTTAGATATTCAAAATAAAGAACCAACTTTTTGTAAAATTCAGCAGGTAAAAAATCCAATAACCCTTAACCAAACAAGTAGCAACTCTAGCCTTCGTCTCTGTCCAAATAAAGGAAGATGGAGCAGTGAGAAATCTTTTAACATTATCCGCCCATGTATGGCATCATAAATCAAGGTTTAATTATACATCACTGCTCAATTCTTCTTTTTCCATCTCTAATTAACTTGAGTCCATACAGCACAAATTCAAGAACTGATAATAAATCCCATCCAGAGAAGATCCAAGATAGCTTGAATTGACATCAGCTAGTTTGTGACAAATTCCAAAAAGAAAGTCTATAAAAAAATGTTCCTTTGTCTCCAAATTGTAGGCATCATAATTTGCATAAGCTTCAAAGGTCATCCTACAGCAGCCACTTTACTATATTAGATCTGTTCACAGACAAATTCACTGGTGACCAGAGTGTTCAACCTTCACCATCCCTTGTGGAAAACATAAGAGACGCCATTTCGAGGATAGAGAAATCTCTCAGAAAAATATATTCACTTATACTGAATGCATCCTCATGTGTTCCACAAAATGCAATGCCAAGAAGTTAAAAGATGACTTACACTTACCTCAATAATAAGATCCGGATCCACCACCACTCATGTAACTGCTACCACCACCCATACCCCTGCCAGAATACATCGATGAATACGAGCTGCCACCAACCTACAACACAGGAATAATAATCGATAAGAATATAACAAAAACATACGCATATGTAACACTACTTTCTATTGAGATTGAGAACATTACATCACTGCCACGAGAAATGTAATCACCACCATAACTTGATGAGTACATGCTACCAACATCACCACCACCAAACGAACCTAACACACAAACCACAATAAAAATGTAAGATGCAAATACAATTCTGATGTTGACAATAACAAATCAGATTATTGGCAACAAAATTCACCTCCACCATAACTCATGCCTTGTCGACTGCTATACATCCCATGTGAATCTTGACCACTAATAGAACTTCTGCTGCCCCCACCATATCCCATACTGGATCTTCCAAGTCTACCAATTAAAATGTAAGGAATGAATTACAAGATAACAATTGGGTTAGGGTAGGAGAAATTCAAAAATCTGAAATTTACATGAAACTAACCTATCACCGTAGGCATCTCCATACTGTGAAGCACTACCACCATAGTCATAATCCAATCGAGCTCTTGATTGGCGAGAACCAGTATCCGCATATCGTGGAGGAACATCATCCTTGATTAGAAATAAAAAGTGAAAATTTCATTTACTAAACTAAGCTCAAATAGAACGAGAAGGAGATTCAAAACAATACAATTAGAAAAAATGTGCAGAAATAATACTAACTATAGCATCATAAGAACGTTTTGAGCCAGATAAAGAATCATAATCACGGGGGCGTCCTTCGCGGTAATTTAGATGAGGAGGTGGTGGTGGAGGAGGAGGCCTCTCAAATCTTTGGCCATAACCATCATCAACATAACCTCTCCTTGGTGCGGCACGAGATGTACTTCTCGGGAGATCAGAGTAGCCAGGACCACGGACTGGATATTCCCTGTAAGATGGTCGTCTTTCAGATGCCACCCTTGAGCCATAATCTGCAGCAACTCTACTTCTTGGAGGTGGCAGATCCTCACGTCGACCATAATCTCTCTTCATGCTACTTTTTGGATATGCAGGAGCTAAAAAGACAATACAGAAGTATATATTGATCATAAAAAAGGGACAAAAAATACAAAATCTGTTAACAAAAATTGTATACCACATACCAGCCTGTCTCCGATCATAAGATCTAGCTGGAGGAGCCATTGGCCTACTTCTAACTGGCATGGACATGACAGGGCGTCTATCTCTCATACTAACAGGCCTGAGTGGCGGAACACGACTTCCGATTCCTCTTACCCCACGGGAAGGAAAACTACGCGGTGCAGGTCGGCTCCATGAAGGCCTAGCCATTATTCCAGATCCGCGACCAGAACGATAGTCCCCATGACTAACATGTTTTCCACGGCCTCTTTGAAGTGGTCTTGACAACCTAGCCCGGACTTTTGCCTGAAAGAAGCTGAAAGTATTATAAAAGGCCCCATTTAACTGTGCACAAGCAATTTATTCAAAAGCAAAGACAGACCTTCTTGTCACCTTCACCCAACTCTGTACCAGTAATGCTTTCAGCACATCTTACGGCAGCATCATGCGAGCCAAATGTAACAAATCCATAGTCCTTCCTGCGCGCAGCTGGCATGTTCCTGGCAAGCTCAACCTTTTCAATCTCTCCATATTTCTTAAGAAGATCTTGGACATAATCTTCATCCCACGAGGGAGGGAGTGCATCAATAAACACAGTTTTAACCTGCAACTTGAACACACATGATCAGCACATATAACAGGTATATTCACAGCTAAACACATGTCAACTACAAGGATAGCTTGTCTGCTCATAAAAAACTACTGGAGCATCATTCTGACCACCCTAAGTGTAAATTCAACCAAATTTGTAGAATTTACTAGATTTTTAATAGAAAACAAGCATAGTTTTAAATTGAGGTTACAATAGCAACTATGTTGCAATTACCAAAACTGCAGAAAACTGCGGAAAAATTCAGCCAATCCAACTACAAGTAAACCATACCGGGTAAAAGAATAAGATTACAACATCAAAATATAGACAGCCAAAAAATTAACCACTATAGGTGTTGGAACCAAGGAGAGATGTTTACAGCAACTCAAATACTTCAAAAAGACCAGAGAACCATACTACACAGGTTCCATTTAAAAACCCCAGGTAAAAACCAAGGAATTTAGATTCAGAAATACCTGTGCCATAATTTCATCACCCGGGTCAATAAAGGAATCTGCAAAAGAAACCTTTGCAGGCTTATCAACTCCAAACACAACATCCCTCTTCTGCAGTCGCTTAAAGGCATCCATAGCATCTGAACGAGAGGGAAATTCCAAAAACGCAAACCCCCTGTTCATTCCTTCATCGTTACTATCTTCTACCAATGTCAAATCCTCAACATTTGTAACTCCATAATGTTTCAACTTCTCCTTTAACTGGCACCATAAATTCCATCAATAGTCAAAAACTCAGCAGATTTAAATTTAGAAAAAATACTATCAAACACAATCCAAGTGTTGAAGGACAGAAGGTGCAAAAAATAGGCCCAAAAAAGTTAAACTTACAGCTTCCTTTTTCCATGTCTTGCATATGTTTCCCAAGTAGAGCGTATCACTGTCCTGACTTGGAGTAACCCCACACTGTTTGCCATTAATCTGAAATTGCCGTATGAAAACATATAACTTAATCCGATAACAGTTTCTAAGTCTACTCTAAAATTGAGAGTATCCAAGATTACCACTGGATTTTTTAGCTCAGCTACAGCTTGTTTTGCTTGTTCAACAGTTTCAAAACGCAAGAATGCAAATCCCTTGTTCTTTTTAGTCTGAGGGTTCATCATCAGCCTAACCTCAGTAACCATCCCAACTTCACTGAAAACCTTCCTCAGATCACTTTCAGTAGCATCCTTGTCTAGACCCCCAACAAATACTTCAAATTCTTTCCGCTTTCGCCTCTCCTTTACAACTTCACGGTGTTCCTCTTCCTCCACATCAGCCAACTCCACATGCTCATGCTCCTCACCAGCACGCTCGTCATACTCTTCACCTTCAATTTCATCATGACCATCTTCAACTTCTTCCTCACCCGTATCACCCTCTTCTTCACCTACATTATCTTCAGCTTCTTCCTCTGCTTCATCTCCTACCTCATGAACCTCATCTTGTTCAATTTCCTTCTCATCGTAATCAACTCCCCCATACTCCTCAGCTTCATACTCGTTATCCTCCAAATCTAAGCGTTCATCTTTTTCATATTCATCTAAGGACTCCTTAACCTCCTCTTCGTCGTCTGTCAAAAAGTAAAGATTTCAAATTATCCCAGTCAAAACAGACTATCTTTTCCAACTTCATGGCATTTGTTAAATTATGGTAGTCCATGTTCCATAACCAATCCTCATCATTACTGGTTAAAACTTTTCCCTGATAGCACGAGGTTATAATACTAAAACATAAAGGAACATAAAAAGAACTCGAACCAAAACAAATTGAACAATAAACAACCACCTTCAATAAGAACCAAACAGGAAAACATAATTACAACTTTTAAATAGTCAGCAAACGCACTCAGGAAAGGATATATCCATCAAAAACTATAGATTCACTAAAGTTTTCCCAACAAAATCAGACTAAGATATTCTCAAGAGAACCAAAACAGTATAAATTTCACAAAGAAAGAACCCCAAGAATACTGATGACCAAATTAAAAACTCAACGAAACCAAAACATAGAATTTTGACAAACCCCATCGGATCTCGGTCTCCAAAGATCCAAATAAAAAAGAAAGAAAGAAAGAAACCCAACAATCTTATGCATAAAAATAATCTTCTGCGTAAAAAAATAAAAGTCACTTACTTTTCACCACATCCAACCCACTAGACACGTGTGCCGCTTCTTCCATAGCCTCTGGAGCCATTTGATTCATATCAATAGACTTGTCCTCAACAACAGGTTTCTCTTCCACAACAGGTTTCTCCTCAATAACAGGGTTCTCTTTGACTTTTTGTTCCTCCTCCTCTTCAACAACCGATTTCTCTTCAAGCTTCACAACCTCTTCCACAGCTTCAGGTTCCTTCTTCGGGGTACCCCTTGTTCCTCTACCACCCCTCTTCGCACCACTCGACGCAGCCCCTCTCTTCACCGTTCTAGGAGGCATTCTGTACGCAACCCTGACAACAATGAAACAAAAACCCTAGATTTCACAAGCGAAAATCGCGCAACCTTTTTTCCGATCAGAAAACCCTAAATTGAACCCTGATTTTACGATATTGAAGAACCGAAACCCAACGAGAGCGTCTCAATCGAAGTCAAAATCGAAATTTAAAGAGAAAAAATTGGGAATCGAAAGGGCTGATGAAAACCCTAGAGAGTTGAGAATCTAAGATGAGGTCAGGAAAAAGCAAAACCCTAAATAAGTGAGAGAAGAGGAATTTATACAATGAATAGAAAAAGGAAGAGTAAAATATAAAAGTAAAAAGGCAGGAACCGACTAAATTATTTTTTCTAAAAATATCAAATAATTTAATTTTCAAAAATAATACCAAAATAATTCAATGAATTTTGCATGATTATTTTTTTTTCCAAATATGTAGCGAGGTACTGGATGTTGAGTCACTGGTTCACTCAGTGGGTCACTGGTTTAATCAGTGGGTCACTGGTTTAATCAGTGGGTCACTGATTTAACCGCATAATCCGGTAATTATATGTAATTTTATAATTTATATTAAAAAATTATAAACATATTCAAATATCTAAAAAAATATAAAAATTTCAAATATTTTAATATAAAAAATAATAAATCACATATTATTATTAATAAAGAATCAAATAAAAATATAATAATCGTGATACGAGACTTTAGGTTCAGAAAATGACATCTTTAATTATAAATCAAATCAAAAATTTCTCTGCATAGTGCATAATTGAGATAATTTTAGTGTTGTAGGTACGTAACTTATGTAAGTCAATAAGCAAAAAATATATTCAAATATGTTCATTATGTTTTTTTTTTTTAAAATTGGAATTTTTTTTTTGGACCGGGCCAGGTCATCGGGCAGGTTTTCATGAAAACCGACAGGGTCAGACCGGATCGCACTAGTTCTGATGCATGGTCGGTCTGTTGCTTCAACCGAACCAGTTATATAACCGAGTTACCGATTCTCGGTCAATCTGATTTTATTAACACTGGATGGTAGTGTCCTATAAAAGATGTGAGATCAGTTCAGCATGAATAATGTGAAATTTGAAATGTAATTAATTTATAAACTGTTTTTTTTTATAGATTTTATAAACTGTTTTAATCGATCAAAAGTTGGTCAAATTAAGGGAAAATAAATATTGTTGTAAGAAAATTCTAATCTCATGTCATATATATGTTAAGTGTGAAACTCACTTATTTAAAAAAAAATGGCACATTTTTTATGATATGTGTAGAAAGAATTTATTTTCTCATGCAACATGAGAAAAACAAAGCCCTTCAATTAATCCCTAACCTATGATAATTACATTAACAAGCTATTTCAATAACATGTTGTCAAGTTTTTTTTTTGGTAAGCTGTTGTCAAGTTATTAATTAAATACTCGTCATTTTTCACCAAAAAAAATAAAAAAATACTCGTCATTCATTCATTTGTTCCTCGTGTTATGATATTATATAACTTTTAGAAGTACATAAATTTTTAAAAAAAAAAGAAGCTAAACATACTCGACTCTTGTCGTGCTTTATTTCTTTTAAGAAAAAATTATTTGTTTACTTGCGTTATTTTACTCACAAAGATGTGGGGTTCACATTTTTATTTTCATTCTTTTTTTTCATAATTTATCTATTTTTCTCACTTAAAATAACATAACTTTACATCCTTTAAAATGATACACATTTTTTCTTTAATTCAATGTGTTTCACATTTTTTTTTGCCATACTATTCACAAGGAGCCTCGTAATGCACCTAATTGGGCCTCATGATGCTCCCATTATATTGTTACAATCCAAAGGATATAAATATCAATTACATTCCAAAAGGCTTGATTATTAACATTAAGTAGTTGTAATTATAGTAGTTAAAATATTGATTTATCACTATGATTTTACATTTTTATGATTTTTTTATGTTACGATTTTATGTTTTACGATTTTTTATTCTTCTTTCGATTTTACATAAAATCTCGATTTTAACTACCTTAGTTGTAAGGCATAGGGTTTGAATTATACATGTCTCGGTTTATATGGTATATTTTTTTAAATTAAAAGTTACTTTTAAACTAAAATAAAAAAAGCTCAAAAAATAAAATAAAAAGTTATTTAATAATTATATAAAATTTCAATTATTTATTAAGACATCAATGGTTATATTTCAATAACAAAACTTGTAAAATAAAAAGGCTTTAATGTTTCTATCGTAAATGTAGATAAAATATCTACATTCGCTCCCAAAACGACGTCGTTTTGGGTTGAAAAATTAAATAATTATAATAAAAAAGACTATTATAACCCTGAAATAAATTATAATTACAAATATACCTTGATTTTCGCCTTAAAATGACGTCATTTTGGGCTCAATGTAGATAAGTTATCTACATTGACTATAAGAAAAGCGAACCCAAATAAAAAAGAAAATAATAGTCATTTGAATTGCTAACTATCAATTTATAAATTGATACGTTTCAGTAAGTACGAGTCATTATAGGGTGAAACCCGGAATTTTAGCTTTTCAATATCTTTAATATTTTTGTCTCAAGAAAGATGACATCATGAGTTCTTACAATTTTTCGGTTGATTGGATCTCAAAATAAGGACCTAAATCACTTCTTGGGGAATCGAAGTATATTCATATTTTTGTTTTAGCCTTACCCTAGAATTTTTTTGGCAACCTAGCATGGGATAACATGCTACAAACCTTTTCTTTAATGGTTAGGTTTCTTTGTTTTGATACTTCATTTAAGTAGGGTGTCTTTTCAATTTTAATTTTTGCCATGCTGCAGTAGAATTCGAATGGGCCTTTGTATTTGCCCCCAGTATCAACTCAGATAGTCTTCAACTTCTTCTTAGTCTCTCTTTCAACTAAGACATGGAATTCTTTAAAGGCATTGTAGCAAGCCCAATTGATAACATTCCTCAGAGTCCAATTCACCAAGACACTGAGACTAAGAGGACCAAACGTATTACGAACCGGCCCAAACACCTTAATGACTTTATAATGGGTTAAGGTCTTTTGGGGTTGTTGGGCTGAACAACTTGTAATGCCAATGCATCATTCCAAGGCTTGTTTGGAATCAGAATATAAACAGAAATTAAAAAGAATAGAAAATATAGAAAATTGTTGGACAATTCTCCTTCTCTTTGATTTTCTCTCTCTTCTAACTACCTTATTCTCAATTTCATCATCTTCCTCCCTACAATCTGGTGCTTTCATTGTTGTATCTCCTCCTATGGCTGATAACACTAGGATGAGAGACTTACAAAATCAATTAAATGAACAAAACAACAACTCGTTACTGCAGAAATCCGATTACAATTAACTGAGAATACCACTAACCAGCAATTCACAGCTTGGGAAGTGGCTCATGACCGACGATTCACTGCTATTGAGAACCAACAAAATGAACAGTTTGAGGATATGCGCACTGACCTAGAATGTTAACTCCAACAGCAGCCTCACCATGGCGTCGTTCATCATAATGGACGTCAACCTGGCATTCTCGGTCCAGGACCTGGAGGACGGTCTTCGCGGATAGATCTGCCTCGATTCTCTTCGGGGGACCCTAATCGCTGGCTTTTTGCAGTTGAGAGGTACTTCTTGTATTATCCTTCAATCCGACCAAATGGTGACACTTTGTTGTGCTCGACCAAATGTTCCCATGTCCCGTTACTCTTACAGACTGAACTTTTCTCTGTGGAACTATTTGTCATAGACCTCAAAGGTGCTGACATGGTCCTTAGGGTACAATGGCTCGCCACATTGGGCCCCATTGTTACAGATTACAAACAACTCACAATGTCCTTTACCCATGGCAATGCCAACGTCTTGTTGCACGGTGCACTCACCATAGACCCTGCTGCTATTTCTCCAGCACAATTACATCGGTTGGTAGCCCTGAACTCAGTTTCTTCATGTCACATGTGCTTCACTACCTTAACAGATACCACCTCTCCACAGCTGTTTCTTGGTGATCAGCTGCTTACTTGACAACCACATGACCCGACCGTTCAGACTTTACTTCATAACTTTGCTGATGTGTTTGCTACACCTCTTTCCCTTCCTCCTGACCGTCACTACAACCATAAGATTATCCTTCAATCCGACACTAAACCAATTCAGGTACGGCCATATCGCTATCCTCATTTCCAAAAAATGAGATTGAGCGTCTGGTAAAGGAAATGCTTGCTGGGGGACTTATCCGGGCCAGCCAATCTTCTTTTAGCTCACCAGTTCTGTTGGTGAAAAAGAAGGATGGTACCTGGCGCTTTTGTGTGGACTACAGAGCCTTAAATGTTGTGACCGTGAAGGACAAATTTCCAATTCCCACGATTGATGAGCTATTGGATGAATTACACGGCGCCACCATTTTCTCCAAATTGGACTTGCATTCTGGTTATCACCAGATTTTGATGGATCCTTCGGATATCCATAAGACCGCCTTCCGTACACACCACGGTCATTACAAATTTGTAGTAATGCCGTTCAGCTTATCCAATTCTCCTTCAACATTCCAGGCCACCATGAACGGGGTTTTCTCTGAATTTCTACGCCGTTTTGTAGTTATTTTCTTTGATGATATTTTGGTCTACAGTGCTTCTTTACAAGATCATGTTCACCATTTGTTCCAAGTTCTACAAGCATTGCGCAGCAACTCCCTATATGCAAAAATTTCCAAATGCTCATTTGCTCTAACTTCCATCAGTTTCCTCGGACACATCATATCTGGTAGTGGAGTTGCACCAGACCCACTGAAAATACAAGCCATTAGAGATTGGCCATTGCCGTCTTCTCAAACTCATGTTCGAGCTTTCTTGGGGCTTTCGGGATACTATAGACGCTTCATCAAAAATTATGCGTTGGTAGCAGCACCATTATCCGATTTGTTAAGCAAATCGGGTTTCATGTGGTCCCCTGCTGCGCATGAGGCTTTCCAGAAGTTGAAGTCTTTACTTACAGATGCCCCTATACTGGCTCTTCCTGACTTTTCACTCCCATTTATCTTGGAAACGGATGCCTCCGGTATTGGGTATAGGTGTTGTGCTTCTCCAAAACAACCATCCAATTGCTTTTTTTAGCAAAAAGTTGTCCTCCATCATGAAGAACAAGTCCACGTACGTGAGGGAAATGTTTGCTATTTCAGCAGCCGTGGCAAAGTGGAGGCAATATTTACTGGTTCTGAGTTCATTATTCGGACTGACCACCGTAG